TAAGTAAAAGTACCTACGTTTTAAATAGATAAAAATAGATACCTTGTTATTGCGATTACGCCTTATGACATAGACATAATATGTATAGGTACTATTGCAGACTTCTATAAGCCTTTTAACACTACAATTTTGTAGTACATTGTTTTGATGTATTTTTTAAGGTTTAGCCAGCGTTAGCCATGTAAATTCCTAAAGACAATTCGTCAGAACAAATTGTGAACCAAATCTGTGTACGTGAAATGTACACAGATATACAAATAGACAAAAATATTTATAACTATTATTTTATGTTGGCTATTTTACTATTTTATTATATGTATAGATTCATATTTTTGTTATTAGAACCGGTAAGATAATTTATTATTATAAAATTTCCCATAGGTCTCTATGTCAACACTGGGAAATCGATAATAGTAGCCTAATCTATTTTTTAGAATTATGTAAGAATAGTTTTCTTCCTTTTTATGTTAAATACAGTAAAATACCTTGATAACTAAGCAATTACCATACACATTTGTATCAATAGCAATGTAACAGTTTTCATGTAAGAAAAAAAAACTTAGCCTTCCCTCGGATAGTTATCATAGTCTGTCTGTCTCTTTGTCATAAATAATTAGTTGAACATATTATATTTTTAAATATCTCTTACATACCTAGCCTAGATTTTTTTAAATATCTCTAGGCTATTTAGAGTTATTCCAAACACACAAAAAAACATCTCATTTTAAGAGAGTTTTAACTGGAATAAATGAATAAAAAATATAATTTAAATGAAAGTCAAAGAAATGATTAGGTTTACCACTTTAATATATGACTTTAAAAAAATTAAGGTGGTCAATATTACCTGTATGGATAGTTTATAAATATAATAGTAAACTTAAAGATGTTAACAAAATTTTATAAGTCTATAAACAATTGATTATTGATTCAACATACTTGTTTCTTCAAACACATAACAGATTCATAGATTTCAATGTAAAAATCTTTAATGTAAAAATATGCATCAAATTATGCTTATGCATTATTTATATATTAATTATGCATTATGATGAAACAAGTAAATTATAAAAAATTTAGTCTTTAATAATATAGTATGGCGCTATATAATTCAGGTTCTTTAAAATATTTATTTTAATGTAACTACATACTTACTTAAAAATAATTAGAAATAATGCACTTTCACAATATGCCACATTTAAGTTACTATTCGTTTTGGAATTATATTCTATTTTAAGATAATAATGTTTCAAAATAATAAAAATAGAAAATCAAATAATTTAATTAACTAAAAATATAGATATATTTTGCTTTAGTGATACTATTACTTAACTCGTTGTCCCGTGGCAGGTAGCGAATGCATTACTTTTAATCCATAAATAACATATTTTGAATGTAAATGAGATTCAGTCTAGTATACTGCTTCACGAGCTTAAACACGTGTTAATTCTTACTAAATCGAATTAAAATATCTGAAAAACAAACACTTTGTATACAAAGACATCTAGAAAAATGTGCGGACATTTGAAATCTGCAAATTAATCATTGTTTATTTCCAAAAAGGGCTCTATTTTTTTTAATTCGAAAAAATATCAACGTCACAAAACACTATCAACAAGGAGAAAATTTCAAAAATAGAAAGAGGTCTACTCTCCTACACTTTTTTTAATACAAATACCAAGCTTTTGATACTAAACATTATCTCTCCAGGTTTATTTCGCACGTTTGTCTAAATGTCATCATACCTACAAAGTGCACAAAAATTCGTTTTAGCAATATTTAACATGTTTTGAACTTGTGATTAGGTCTATTGGCGGCGAGCAAATTTCCTATCCACATAAAGCAGAATTAGTATCCACCGAATAAGTCATTATTTTTATACATAGTTTATATACATACATAATAAAAAAAGTATAGATCCACAGACAGTTGAGGGTAATACTGTAATTAGCCAAGTTAGTTCCAACATCAACCACTAGATAAATTTATTACCGCCAATAGGTCTTAAAGCTAATTAGTGTTTCGTAGCTGAAGTGATTTCACGACAACATGAAAAAAAATTGTATGATAGCGAATTCTTTTAAAGTAACAAATATAATAAATATTAAACAAATATAAAAATGACATATAACCAATATTAAATAAAATGTTTCGTATCCGATGAATTTAGATTGATTGTATGGGGGATAACCTAAATGATTAATATATTTGCATGTAAAAATAGTTTAATAGACTGAAGTGTACTGAAACAATGTTGTGCATTTACAGTAGAAATTGTAAAAAAAAAAATTCATGAACAACAAATTATCCTTTTTTTTTAATATGAAAATTTAAATGGAATTGTGGATGGAATCGGCGCGTCGTCACTATTATAGTAGAGAATGGAATGTTAGAAAAAAAGTTTTTACTAGAACATTTTTCTAAGTTTATATTTAACATTGGAATGGAAGTAAAAGTGAAGTCAATTATACGATTTTTTGGGAGCATTTGATGCAATTTTATAAAAAAAAACGAAACAAGATGAAAAACGACATTTCGGAGCTTAGAGTACCTACCTACCTATACAGTTTTGTCATGTGTGAAATTAAAAAAAAAAAACACAAATCTCCATTTATTACAGTATAGTACCCATATTATAACTAAAGTGAAACTATTCGCACAATCAAATTCCTACTTTAGTAGTAAAATTAATAACCTCGCAGCCATTAACTTTCTTCAGAACGACGCTGCAGTTATAATACGCGTATAGAGTAATTGATATGACATCACACATTAGGCTAAAGTTTTATGTCAATCCCATACTGTTAATGCACTATATAGAGACGTAAATTATTCTATACGACGGTTTTTTAATGCAATTGACAAGTAGGAAATTTTAATGGAAAATTGGGCGGAACTTCTTAAATGCGAGGTATGGCATACTATGATCGAGAATTCAGAAATATTGATTAAAGTACCTAACAATTTCAGTAATGCAAAAATTCAAATCCATTGTATACTTAGTATCATGTGAACAGTTAACTTTTAAACATGTATAATGTATATAAGTTAAACAACACTGAATGAAATGAGTTATATTTGAATGAACATGAACACTATCGAGTGGAAGACAAAAAGTGTTATCTACAATTTGGTGTGAATGAAGAATGATTTGATTAGTTTATATTTAATTTAAATTACTCTACACCTTAACTAAAACTTAAAAAATTACAAGTTATAACTATGTATAGTTCGACTCTTGGTTATATTTGGTATACATGTAATTTTTGCCTATATTTAAACTATAACTAACAATAAAATGATATTCTTGTATGTAATCATTGTTGATTTCAACGATATTTTAATGTTACTACAAACAGAATATAACATAATATATTGCTCAAGTACGAATGCAATGATTATATATGATGAACGTATAGAAAGGAAATCTTTATTGTTTATTATGATGCTCTTTAGTATCAATGACGTAATCGACCTTGTAAAAAAGTTTTACATAGATATTTATATGACCGTTTGTCGTACGACGACCATTTACTGTTGGATTAGACAAGGGAACGTAACCGTACTACTTGACCCATTTAAAAAAAAACCTTTATCCCTACCCACTTTCCCTTGGTGATCACCCGTAGTATATGCCATCGCCTCTAGTTTTCACGTAGAAATTCATACACGTGGTTTTAAATCTTTTTTGCAAACAGAAAGTTACAAAAAACTTAATTTGGCTCATATTTGTCTTATGGCAGATTTCACCAACGTCACCTAAGTTTAAGAGATCCCCTAAGCATAGTTAGGGGTCTGTTAGGGGACAGTTTCTGTTTCACCGACAGACAGGTATCACCTTAATGTTAAAATGTCACCTAAATATAGGTACTAAAAATACGGGCTCTGACGATCGTAAAACGAAATTTAAATTAGGGGCTAGTTTAGGGGAACTTTTAAACTAGGGATTCCATGCGTAGGTGGTAGCTTATGGGATGTTGGTGAAATCGGACATTAGTCACGTGACGCCAAGAGTGAATTTTATAGCTCGAAAAAGCGCGAGATTTCCCTAGAGAATATTCACTACTTGACGAAGGCCTAGCAAACTAACGATCTACGACTAAGCGTGGTATTTGGAAGATCAGACCCCTCCCACCTGTCCCCTTTTCCCTGAACGGGTCACATAGTATGGCTACGTTCCCTAATGGTTGGCAATATATTAAATGAGCAATTTAACTCTAGAAAAAAACTATAATTTATCAATAACAACATATAGAATATTTATTTTATAATAAGTTGCAAGCTTTAACAGATTAGATTCCTATTTCAAGTGCAAAAACAGTTTTGGCGCACCTGCGTTAACGCCTTATTCACTTGTATAGTAAAAAACGCAAATAATTACGTAATATAGTTCCAAATAATACTTAAAAATTAGAGATATAAAATTAATGCCTTTGTTACAATAAGTTAACAGATAGTAAGGTGTACCTTATTTCATCAAGGCAAAAGAGATTCGTTTTACGAAAACTTGTGCGAAAATGTACCTACCTACTCTGTTTTGTCGCCATTTTATATCAGCTTATAATGTAATATAATAAAATTTTGTATAAAAATTTTAATAAAATTTACATGGAAAACTTCAAATACGTTACACATACGTTTATTATTATAGGATAAATTCTAGTATAGAATAAGGGTGGGTAAGAACAATACAAAATCAAAATCTGATACGACTATGGCATTGACTTTTAAATTTAGATTTTTTCACGTTCCTCGTATTCATTATACATATATAAAAAATCTATTTCCAATATAACAGTGCAAGCCTTATCTTAATATACATGCATTACTTGTCGGATTATACAAAAATGATTTTTGAACTTAAAAAAAACAATGTATAAATATTTGCACTTAATCTCAGGTGAAAATTTATAAATTGTATAAAAAATTACATATTTGGCATTCAATATTTTCAAAGTTGTGAAAACACAGATCCACGAGGCGTATGGCGACGCGACTATCTAAATAATAAATATGGATTTTTGATTTTCCAAAAGGAAGTCTGTAAATGCATTAATGGGGGCAATAGACTGAAGGGACATTTGACCTTTAGAAGGCCAAGAAAGATTAGGACCGAAAACAACAGCTAGGTTACCGCTCGTCATCTTATTTAGGCAGCTCCTATCTTGGACCTGTAGAGAAAGACTTATGTAAAATCATAAAATACGATGTTGTAACACTTTATAAATCGTATAATAATGTCTTACCTTCCATAAGAACTGAAAGATGTACTTCAATAATTTATAGTTGTCCAATGGCAACCTTTCCAAAATTAGTATTTTCACTTGTCGTGGTTTGTCCCTGTTTGACCAAGCTGAAAATATATTTCCGGCTAGTTATAAGTTCTTAAAATCAAATTTAAGCCCTTCCAATTATATTGTTTTTGTCTATAGATTATTTAAGAATATATGTATACGGTATGTACCTATAAGTAATAAATTACAAAAACTTGAAAAAAAATGTATATAATATTGTTAACTTATACGCAAAAACATAACTTTAGATTGATTGCAGTATTACCATAAGTATAGATACCTAATCAGATATTTTGGAGGTCGGTGCCAGTCGATGCAAATCTCAGTAAATCTATTTCGATATGCATAAATACATCACGAATGGATGTACAATATTTTAACTGTAATAATTGAAGTTATTTACCTATTAGATATTCCACCGACTTTGAAAATATCTGATTAGGTATCTATAGTAAAGGAAACCCCGCGTTCAGTTATTTTTTTACTTTTTAGTGTCTAGAAATAGGTTTTTACATATATTAATTTGTTTACTTTTTATTTTTTAATGCCTGGAAATCGTTTTTTTTTTAAGTTTTCATGTTTCCACTTTTAGTGTAAACGTATTAGTAGAAAATTCGTAAAAAGAAAGTGTTTCAATAAAATATTTTATTTAGTCATTTAAGTTAGTTTGATGCCAAACTTTATATGAAAACTGACAAACTAAAAAACTCACATTTATTAGTAACACTAAAATTCAGGCTCTAAAATCTATTCTAATGTAATGAGCTTGTAAAATGAAACCAAATAAGCCCAAACTCAAAGTATTTACTAATAGCCGTTGAAGAGTTCCGCCTTCTGGTCTCACCATCAGAGCTCGATGATAATACAAGTTGCACATGCAAAGTTTCGAGTTGATTTGACAATTGGAAGTAGGTAAAAAAAGTAATTAAATCTGTTAACATGCTTCGAATTTCCTGGTTTTTCTTGATTTTCAAAGAAAATTTTATGGGATCACCTCGGGACCTACTTTAATATAATACAGTTTAAAGTAGCAAAATCGGTCAAGCCGTCTCCGAGAAATCGGTGAACATGCATAAAAAAAAATACATACAGACGCACATAGAACTTCCTCCTTTTTATAAGTAGGTTAAAAACGGTAGGTGTCGAGTGTAATTTTGTAGTATCAATATGAATGATTATATTCCTTACTCGTTTTTATATATATCTACAATTTATAAAAAAAAAGAAGAAAAAATGTTTTTAGGACTATACAAAGAAACATTACAAACGCAAAGTAAATCCACACTTACTCTGGAATTTTAGTATCTCTTCATGAAGATCGAATGTTAGTAAGGGTTCTTCTAAATCTCTTAAGAAAGTTTTGAGTAAAACGGCAGCATTGTGAGGATCATTTCTGAAAGATATTGGTTCACCCCTATTGCACGCTCGTTGTAACTCTTTTATAACCAAAATATTCGCCGATCTACGGAATATACCCTCCGTTTCCAAAGCTAAAAGATAAACTTTCTTAGTTAGAAATCTTTAAAGAAGATATAAAAAAGTACAAAAATAAAACAAAAAACAAATGGACGACTGAAACACGCCATATATAACCATTTCCATATAGGCATCCTATGACACTCGCGCTATCAACACAACACTAACAAGATACTCGTAGAATCCAGTTAAGACGTAAAGTAATTACAAGGGAACAAAGGGTCAAACATAAATACGGTCAAAATAATACAATTTCTGTACGTGCAATGCTAAACAAAGTTATTTTATTAAATTTAAATGGAAATGCTAATACAAATAGATTGTCTTACAAAAACTTTTTACCTAGACATTCATTTATTTAACAAGGAAATATTTTATCGGAGATATCACTCACATCAACAAAGCAGGAAATGAATATCGCCAAATTAAATTTTCAATATTAGGAACATTGGTGAAGCGAAAAAATTACTCACCGTCTGGTTGTGAAAGAAATTCTACACATTGTCTAACGACAGGAGGAATGGAGTCTATTATGTTTGTATTATTTTCTATTATGAATTGTAGCGAAATGCCGAATTGTTGCGTCGGCGGAGGAGAAAGACTTTCTTTTGTCGTTGTTTTGGAATCGCTCTCGTCTGGTAATTTTTCGACTGTCTGAGCTTGAGTGCGAGCTATCTCAGCAGCTTTAGGGTTTTTCAACAGTAACAATTTATCGTATCTAAAAGTTTAATAATGACATCAAATGAATTGAGACAAGTAAATATATTTATTCACATGTAATACGATACTCACTCTAACACCGGCTCTGGTATACAAAGTTTGTCCAGATCTAAGTACTGCTGTAATTCATGTAAATAGTTTACGTACATCATCTTTCTTCCAAACTTAACACTTATCGCGGGCCTAAGCATTTGCCAGACTACTCGTATGAAATTTGTTGGATGCACTAAATATAGGGCTTTCAGATTTTTCTTATACTTCCTATCGAAAGCTTTGTAGGCCTTCCAAAGCCAAGAAATAGGTGGTTTGTTCTTACTAGTTAAACCATAGTGGAAATAGACGACACTATAGTCTTGTTCCACATATTTGTCCAAAGTAAACATTAGGTATCTGTAAAATTATTTAATTCATTTTTTATTATTATTTCCCAATCCCTTCAATTCCCTTGCAAAATGCAAACTTTCTATCGGTCGATATTTCAGCCAGGATACTAGACACTATGAATATTTTTGCAACTACGTACATTATATCGATTAAGTACCGGCCTCTATGAATAATTTGTTTTCTGGACAACTTCATTACTCACTAAACTATCGGCGTATTGAAAGTCTACAGTGTGCGCGGGCTCTAAAACAAATTATTTTAAGACGCAAATAATTACCTCAGCAGTCTATCTGGATGTAAGTCTTTGCTAGATGGTAATCGGCAGGCGGAAACTATGATGATTCGTCGACCAATTTCATCATCTCCCACTACCTCAACCAATCCCGCACCCGAGAGATCAGAAAAACTATCATCATCAAGTGACGAAGTTGCAATCTAAATGAAATATACAATTAGTCTGTATGTGTATCCGTCGCATATTCAAACAGTCTTTGTAAATACAAAATATAATCTATACATATAATAAAATTGTAACTAAGCCGAATCTGTACATTAAATATTTTTTGGAAAATCTTGAAATAAACATTATTATCGATACAGAGGCCGAATCTATAGTTTTTAGAATTTTTGTCTGTCTCTTTGTCTGTCTGTCTGTCTGTCTGTCTGTTACCGCATCACAGAAAAACCACTAGAGCGATTTTGATAAAATTTGGTATGATGATAGCTGGTAATCCGGGTCAACTTAAAGGATACTTTTTACCGCGAGAAAATATCTGATTTCTGAAAAAAAAATGCAAAAACTGCTATGTAACAGTATACTAACTGTAAAATCTAAGAATTTGATTTTTGTTCATCTGTACGCGGGCGGAGCCACGGGCAATGCCAGTTTATAATAATACCTAATTTATTTGAAAAAAATTTACACATATAAAATAGCTCTCATCACACTGAGCGCATATTTTGATTATGTGCATATTTACATTTTGCATGTTATCAAAGCAAAGCAACCGTTATAGTAGGGGAGCCCAAGAGGGGATTTTCTGTAGTTACTCGAGCGCGGCAGATTAACATAAAAGAGGTTACCTTGCACTCTATTGAGTACTTTCACCACAATATAAGTATTCTATATAAAGGGGCGCGTCTAGGGAAGCCGATTAAAATATTTAAAAAATGTTTTGATAAGGTAGAAATACTTGAAACCGTCAGATTAAGGTGTGGTAGGCTAGTCACATCCTGAAAAGTGTCCAATTTAATAATCTGCCGATTTGCACAAGCCTAAGAGGCAAAAATCATCATAAACTTTATAGTCGATTTTTGCCTCTTCGGCTGTTACCGCATCACGGAAAAACCACTGGAGGGATTTTGATGAAATTTGGTATAATGATAGCTGATTATACGGGTCAACATATAGGATACTTTTTACTGCGGGAAACTTTCTCATTTCTGAGAAATCTATACAAAACGTTAAAATAAGTAGGGACGAACCCGAGCGGAGCGAGGGTGAGACGCTAGTTGTTCTACAAAAACAGAACCATGACGCATGTCGGACAGTTGCATAAAATCAATACTATACTGGGAAGTAATATTTGTAACGCACTAACCTATATAGAAAAGGTCAATCAGCAGGAATACCTACAGATACACCTGACCTAAATACGTTTTGCCAGGTCCTGGGAGACCTAGATTGCAATATTGATCGGCGTCGGCTAGATTCAGGCCATTTTGAATATAAAGGGCAAATATAATATTAGAACCTAATTGATCCAAATGGAGACAGAATACATTCTATAGTTAGTATTTACTTTCAATAAAGTTCACGTCTATGAATACTTCGAAATATGTTCCTTATTAAGTTCATTGTTATGTTTATTTCTTTGATAGGGGTTGAAGTTGATATGGGTTTTATAAGTTTGTTAAACTCCAAACTTACTGGATAAGTTATAATATAAACAGATATATTCATTATTTTTTAAATTCTTCTGTCGTAACCAAAAATTAAGGATATTTTCATTAATATGCAGGAAATTATATCAGAGATGAAAGTGAGACATGGACATGATTTTTATTATCAAATTCATCATACAGTGTTTATAATACTATTGTACTTAAAAAATAATAGTAAGACAACGGGTCCCCAACGTGATAGTTAGGCACGTCAATAAAAAAAAAACTAAAGCCGAACAGCGAACAGCGAAATAGTAACAATCACACTTAAAATAATTAATCTAAATTTTAAGTGTGATTGTGTGGTGTTTTTTTAAAGGTAAGAAGAAATAGCAGATGTACAAACATACATATTAATAGTAAGAATTATAAATTAAGAAAAAAAAATATGATAACAATTTATATATCAGGAAATAAGCTCCATGCACGATACAGTAAGCATCAAGTAGTAAAGAATAAAATATTGGGATGTTTATAATTACCTCACCATACACTTCAGGTGCTTTAATTGCAAGTTCCTCTTCGAAGTTTTCTTCTATAGTGCCATCACTAGCTGAACGTTTGAGTAAGTCATCCGGAATATCTAGCAGTTCTGGTGGCAAGGGTGCTGAAAATTTGATACTGAATAACATCCATAAGTTCCTAACATGTTGCGCAGGTTGCACTAGACTAAATCTTCAAAACTGAGGCTAATTAATAATATACTCGTAGATGGAGAATCTTAGAACTAAAAATGAGGTCAAGCAAAAATGTCAATGTATTCTTATGATATACAATTATACATATATATATATATATATATATATATATATATATATATATATATATATATATATATATATATATAAAATAATTCCTAGGATTGTTTTTATCTAAAAAAAAAATTAATAAACAAACATTATTGTATATGTATTATGTAAAGTAAAATACTAATGCTGATCACTAACCTACCTATCATACTATATTATTGTTATACAGTTAACACAATTTTTATAACATATATATATATATATATATATATATATATATATATATATATATGTTATAAAATTGTAACTATAGACGAATCTTTACATTAAATATTTTTTGAAAAATCTTATTGATATCGACATTATTATCGATACAGAGGCCGAATCTATAGTTTTTAGAATTTTTAGTCTGTCTGTCTGTTACCGCATCACAGAAAAACCACTAAAGGAATTTTGAACATATTGGATACTTTTTACCGCGGGAAAATGTCTCATTTCTGAGAAAAAATACAAAAACTGCAATGTAAGAGTATACTAATATGTAAAACCTAAGAATTTGGTTTTTGATCATCTGAACGCGGGCGGAGCCGCGGGCAATGCTAGTCATAAAATAATATTTGAAACTTTTACATTATGCCACATTCGATATAATGATCCAACACTTCTGAAATATTTTGTCTTGATATGTCAGCGATTATGATTAGCGATTTTCTCATTTGCAATATTATTTGTTCTAAATAAAAAAGAAACATTACTTTTGAAATAAAATTATTCTATAAAACTATATATATTCTATTGAAATAAAATTATTCTATAAAACTTAACAAGATAATACACCAACTCACCAGGCAAATCTATTTCCTGCTTTAGATACATGTATGAATATCAATTGGCCTCCACTCATACTTTCATTATGCAATCAGAATCAAATGAAATATGAACATGTACCTATATAGTCATATATGTATGTATCTAACTATATTTTTTCTTCCAACAAATTATAGCCATATTAACTTCAATTTGAAATGATTATTTAAGTACTTTTATTACAAAAAATAATAATAATAGAATGATATTCTTTTTCTAAAGCATGTATTTTCTATTCTTTCTTTTACACAAAGCAGTTTAGAATGTAAGCTAATAGGGTTTTATGATGTCTTAATATGACAAACGGATTTATGTAGTAGCTAGCATATACATAGCAGATCCGGAGGTGCAGGGTTCTAGACAAATGTTAGACCACTTTAGTTAGTATTCATTGAAGAACTGTTTCGGAGAGCAATTTAAATAGTTGATCTTGCACCTAGTTACTCAGAAATGTGTTGTGTCAAATTGTCTTCTTATCAATGTTTAAGACTGAATGGAATAAAGAATGCACTAAATAGATGAATTGTGTTTATAATATAATATATAATATCGCCTGCACAATTGATTAGTTTTAGTGAGATTGACCATCATGGCCCAAATTGGTCAGTCAGGTGGACATAATTATTATTATTATTATATGTATATATCAGAGACAGAATGTTTCTGCTTAAGTAGTTAGAGATGATTTTTACACATTTTGCATTAAGCTAGTCTTAATTGTCAATGGCAGGACTAACCATGAATGCTGACAAGACAAAATTTAGACTAATTGTGACGAAGTCAAGATAAAAGTTTACATTAGAATAATTGAATACTAGGATGAATATATAAACGTAGGTCATATTATTAGCATGTAGTCTTTAAGAGAAGGTACACCATCATATAAGGATAACACTCAGAGAAATGGCGAAAAATAAATAATTTAACATAAAGCTAAAAAAACAATTGTTTGACGCATGCATTCTACCAGTGTTGATATACGGCTGCCAATCCTGGGCTCTTACGATAACTTGATTTAAAAGAATTTCAGTCTGCTAGTACTCAATGGAGAGAAGCATGCTAGAATTAAGAGAAAAATCAGGAAAAGAATCAGAGATAAGGAAAGCGACAAGGGTGGCAGATGTCTCAATAAAAATCAGGAGGTTAAGGTAGAGACGGTCTGGTCATATCATAAGAGAAAGGGACATGAAGAAAAAGGATAATAACCTGGTCTCCAAGAAGTGAGAAACGGAACTAGGAACGGCAAAATAAAAGATGGATAGATGAAATTGAAAATATAGGCGGAAAGCTAAGGACAAGGAATACTAACAATAAGAGTATTGTGGAGAAATTAGAGGACACCTATGCAAGTGCATGGTGCAACTAATTGTACAAATTCAATTAAGGCTTAAAGTATATCTAGGTACTAGAAATACAACAAACACAACAATGTATTGAGTCATATGTTGTCTAATTAAGTGTGAGAAGATGTATGTGGAAGTTACATAAAAAACAACTTAATATTTAATATGTGGCAGTGAAATATCAAATATTGATGTCACAGAAGAAGTATGAAAAAAGTTAGATACTGTAGAAATGTAATCACTGATGTGCAAATGTGTGTAGAGTCTCAACAACCCTTTAAAAACTACATACATGATTATAAAATTTCTTAACTTATACTTTTTATTTAAAGAAAGCCAGGTTAAAAAACATAAGTTGCCAAACAAATATGTATGAAAGGAATGCAGAGAATGTAGGAAGTAAAAGTTGTATCAAGAGATCATAATGTTCGACACTCTGCTCCCTTTGACTATGCTGCAAAAGATATGAAGCCTGAAGTACTATTAGACAAGCAAGGTATGTTATAAATCAAAGCTGCCCACAAACGTAACAAATATATTTGGACCATATATACAAGTTTGTTGTTATTTCATGCTATTCCTATTGTATGTTATTCATTCAAAACAATCAAGGGAATAAAACAATAAAATTGCATGAAATGTTTTTATATGATTGGTTTTAGAATGATCTTCCAGGAAAAGAATATACAGATGTTAAAAAAATATACAATATATCTTTTTACTATAATAATTGTGATTAAAAATAAATTTTCCAGAAAGGTACACAATGACTATTATGAAAAATTGCAGCTTTTTCGATGTTATATTAATTGTGATCATTTTATCAATTTTTCTATGTATAATAAACTTATTAAACAAAATATATAACATTATTTATGCTGTAGAAGCCTTAGAAAAGAAGAAGTCATGTCCTGATGTTATCCTAAAGGAAGTTTCCATACAAAAATTTCGGGATGCACCATTAGTTCATTCTACATTCCAAAATTGGCTCAAAAACTTTCGTGTGATATAAACCGTGCCAGACTTTTAGCATCATACGCCAAAGAAGCAGGGCACTGGCTGCATGTTCTTCCTTCAACTTATGTCGGCACACTTTTGGATAGTGATAGTTTTCATATCGCTTTAGGTCTCAGGCTGAGTACACCACTGTGCACTGAGCACAGATGCCCATGCGGAAAAGAGGTTGACTTGTTATGGACTCCATGGACTCTTTTGCAGAAGAAGTTTAGCTAGACTTTTCCATAATGGTTCCCTAAACAATACCATCAAAGTGGCTCTTGCCACCATTGACATTCCTACTCTTATTGAGCCATCTGAAATAATTCGAGATGATGGTAAGAGACCTGATGGCCTATCACTGGTTCCTTGGGAAAACGGATGGGTCCTATTGTGTGACGTTACATGCGTTAACACATCCCATGTCAGGGAGGCAGCGTCTAAAGTGGTAGCAAAGGTGGAGATGGCTGAACTATTAAGTTACATAAATATGCCTCCGTGAGTCAAATTTACGTTTTTATTCCCCTTGCTATAGAAATCCTTGGCCCATGGAGTCAAATTGCTAAGCACTTCTTAAAAGACAACACCTCGTCTTATTGCCTCTACTGGTAACAAAGCTGGCGCATTTGTCGCCCAAAGAATCAGCATTGCCATTCAATGGCTGAATGCGGCTACCATTCTTGCCACTACTCCACGCGGATTTGACTTGTACAGTAATAGCTATAGTCTAATATAAGTATAATAACTAAGTGTACATTTGTTTTGTATATAAAATTAAGTATTTTTGTAATTTTAAATAAAGCTAAATATATAATAACAGAGCCTGAATTAAGAGGTATTTTTCACATATATCATAGCCTTAAATAATAATTAACAAAACACTCCAAAATATTTTTTTTACTTACCTAAAGCACTAGCCTGTATCAGTTCTGAATCATCAAACTCTAACCTTGGCTCGTAGTCATGATATTCCGACAGACTTGTGTATGCGTCTTCCGGCTCCATGTTATTTGCTTGTAACACTGCTTAAAATTCAACTTTAATTAACATCGTTAAATTTACTTTTAAGTTGGATTATGACTTTGAATAAACACGAAAATGAGTATTTTTTTCTTAGCACAAAAGATGTTTTTTACACTTCTTGACAATACCTTGAAAAGCTCTGATTGGATTCAGTTTCGGTTGATGTTCTGACTCCATATTTCTGCGCAGGTTCTAAGTACGATTTTGTCTAGACAGTAGTCGTTAGGATTTAATTTTTTTAGTACAAGTACCTTCATACGACATAAACAAATTATAATAAATTATTTTTTCAATAAAAAGCCAAACGTCATTCGTTTTTACCATAGAGATAATCTGTATACATGTAGCCCAGTATATATCTATACTCTTTGCATGTAGCAATATACTCTATGAATGCAACAATCAACATTGTTGATGAAAGAACCTGCAAGTTTTTTTAAATATGTTCCTAAAACTTTTTTTACATTCCTATTTCCTACTTAATTTTTTTTGTATATAGCAGTATATAAATATTCCTAATAAATATATTGAAAATTAGTTATGTATATGAACATATACTTTTATAATTTAATGCATTTTTAATTTAACCCCAAAATAAAAACTAACTTGTATTGCGTATTCTAAATGAAAAAAATAACACACCATGATTGCTATAAAAATGTGAAAATATAGTTAACTATTAATTTATATAAAGAAACAAGATTGGTTAATGCTAAACAATAAAAAATAAAATGAAGAAATTGAGTATGTTGAATTGTTGTTGAAGAAATTGTGGGCTAAAGCAATAAGTTAAAAGACGACTAAAATTGGCGAAATCACATTTCATCATCAATTTATATTTAAGGCTATGAGGACATCATTTTTAACCAACTTCCAAAAAGGAGGAGTTTCTCAATTCGTCGAAATGTTTTTTTATGTATGTTCACCAATTACTCGAAAATGCTAAACCGATTTGGATAATTCTCTTTTGTTTCAAAGGATATACTTAACAGGTGGTCCCATATAAATTTTATCGAAATCGGTCGAGCGTTTTTTTTCAGCAGTTTAATCGAATATGTTGTTAAAAAACTTTCTTCTTACAAATTACCTGCTGATATATATGATAGACTTTAAAAAACCGACGTCCAGGCACTAAAATGTAAGAAATAAACAGAAGTTTCTTTTAGAATAGATAACTAATCAGATATTTTTGAAGTCGGTGCCACCCGACAATATTTTAAGATATCTATTAAATTTGCTTTGCATCGGCTGGCACCGACTTCGCAAAGCATGTATTTATTTAATGGTATTGAAGAGCATTAATACCAAGTTTCAATTAACTCTGATCATAAATAATTCTTTGCCCATATAAACTTTATTCCCCCCTTTATGGGATGAATTACGAAAAAAAATGTATTTTTTAACTTAAAGCTAAACACCATTTTCTGTGTATTTCACATTAAGAAAGACACAGTTTCATACAATCTTTAATCTCCTATTTTATCCAGTTAGTTTCAAAAAAATATTTTTAATCAGACACCTACACAATATAAGAAAAACATCTTCTAAATTTCACGTTTCTATGACCAGCGGTTTAGGTTGTATGTTAATCCATCAGTCAGAATCACCGCAGAATGTACCTTTCCTTCTAAATTCTTCCTTCAACTGGTCATATATGTAGCAAATACTCTATGAACTGGTCTAACTTCCAGGCACAATACATTGCACAGGTAAGATGCAAACACAATAGAAGCAAAAAAACAGGTATAACAGAGATATTACAATAAATGGCTTAACCTCAGCCTAAATTTAAATATGCCATACATGTGGCGCTCTTTTTACAAATAATCATCCCCATTAGTTTTGCGACTGGTTTATTCGATACTCGATAGTCTGTGGATCATCGACAGACAGTGGATATGTCACATGGACATGAGTAAATAGTGACGTCTGACATTTCTAAATTATAATTAATCTGTGACATTACCTGAAGCTGAGTGCATAAATCTTTATTTGTCAATTTTCATCCATGGCATAAATTTTGAGAATTCTCTTTTTGTCATCCATGATTCTCTTTTTGTATCTCAATTCTGAAAAGTGAATAGATTTTGATATCATTATAATATATACTCAACGTTTCTAGCACCAATATTAATATAATTTTATAAACCCAGTAATAATATAAATAAGCTGACAAAGTACTTACAACACGCACAGTTAAATATTTGTTATTTCAACAATAAACAACATTTTTTCTCATTATGCTTAGCTACGTCAGTGCTGGGATTCCTGATAAATCTTGGCAGCCTCCAATTGCCATTCTTGAAACTACGTAAGTGCTCTTCATAAAAAAAAGTTTTATTTAACATTACCTATTCTATTTACTAAATTTACAAAAATAATTTTTCAGTATGGGTACTGTAACAGTAGAAATGTATTGGAAACATACTCCTCTTACATGCAGAAACTTTATGGAATTAGTAAGAAGAGGTTATTATAATAACACTAAATTTCATAGAGTCATAAGGGATTTTATGATACAAGGTGGTGATCATACAGGAACGGGCAAGGGAGGTCAATCAATATATGGACCTCAATTTGATGATGAAATAACTTCCGATTTAAAACATACTGGTGCAGGGATATTGTCAATGGCAAATGCAGGACCAAATACTAATGGATCACAATTTTTCATTACTTTAGCCCCAACACAATGGTTAGATGGGAAACACACAATATTTGGCAGAGTACAAAGTGGCATGACAGTTGTGAAACGGATTGGTTTAGTGGAATGCGATAAACATGATTGTCCTGTGGACGACATAAGAATTGAACGAGCCTACATATCCAAATAAATCTTTGTTTCATTAAAAAATAATTGTTTTATTCATTTTTACACTTTACATTTGTAATAAAATACCATTTATTTATATCATAGCAGACTCGGCTTTTTTAGAATTTAATTATATGTATAGATATAAAATAATATGTCTACGACTTCGCTTTTTCATGGATGGTTAAAACAACAATACATAAAAATATTAGGGATATTCATGTAGGTATATAAAATATTTCATTTGTTTGTAGAGGCAAGGTTATTCTGCAATTTTTAAGGAAGCCTGATGCTGATTGAAATTCAAAAACGTATTACTATTGCAGGAGACTTAAATTAGTATTTAAGAATAATATTATAGACAGTTATGTTAAAGTAAATGAAGATCTTAATACAACTAAGATTTTAAAATATAAAAATAATATTAAATAGAAAATGAATCGAAAAGAGACTTATTTGTTATTTAAACAATTTTTGAATGATTTGACGACACATTTGGCTCAGTTTGTAGTGACCCTATTTGCTGTGCTAGAGGTCGCGGGTTCGAGTCCCACTGGAGACATTCATTTGTGTGATGAGTACGATTGTGTGTACTTCAGTCATGTGTAGTCATTTGTATTTGACGTTATATATATATCAACTATCTGGTGTCCATAACACTAGCCTCGTAGCTTATCATGGAAGTAGATGGTCCTTTTTTTTTTTAACGTTGGGAAATGCATTTACGCACGACGTGTGGGACTCACCGGCGTAATACAGCCAGTACTACCCACTAAAACCCAACAAAACCTTCCCCCGTCTTAATGGAGCGTCGCAGGATCGCTTACGCATTCAACTACGACGCCCCGACGGCAGGTCTGCCGAAGCAGACCACCATAACCATGGGGTTGCTTCACAGTCCACTCTGCTATCAGAGAAGTACCAGGAGCAACCCGCATGGTACACCGCCCCCCGAAGAGGGCAACCTCCCTGTGCGTTTCTTAGCTTCGCGCCTGGTTGGATTGCCGGGCACTACTGAGCCCCCCCACCACAAGGTGAACGCACGTTGGGGGGGAAGTAGATGGTCCTGCATGTTAATATCCCAACATATTTAAAAAATTAAGCGATGTTTTACTTTATGTATGCCGTTTATTAACTTCGATTATCAATTACGAAGGTTAAAAAAATGTTTCGTCTATTGTTATTTTATTTATTTTTATTATTTGTTATTATGCCAGTAATAGAAATACATACACTATAAATTTTTTTTAGTCCCTACCTATTACGGTTCATGAGATACAACCCTCTGACTAACGGACGGACGCACAGCGGAGGCATAGTAATAGGGTTCCGTTGGCAACCTTTGGGTACGGAAACCTAAAAATTCTACGGGTCTCCGAGTCTTGCTTTTAAGTGGAATGGCAACTTTGCCACTGATAAGGGACATTATTTATAGTGTAGTGTATATGTATGTAGTGTATTTGGAGCATAATGATTTAAATTTATTTATTTTTTGGCTCTGTTTTTAATATTACAGTTATGATTTTTTTTGTACTTTTAATCATTGAATATGGAAATGCTATGTACACTAGTAATTGACATACATATAGGTTGTATTATTATTGTTGTTAATTAATATACAAATGCTGTGTATGTATGTTGTAAGGGTGCTTATCCAAATAATTAAATAAATAAATAAATAATGGGGAACAATTTTTACATTACCTTTTTCTCCCGGCAGATGTCACGATCACTATAGCCCTCAATATATTTTTTGGAATTTTAAGGTGGGACGGTATTTTTTTCATTTTATTTAAAATTTAAATAAAATTACAAATTGTGCAGTGCCAGGATGTAAAGAAAATGGATATCATTTAGTTCTGCGAAGAAAAAACTGAAGAAATTGTGGACTAAAGCGATAAGACTTATGGGATTGAATTTCATGTACTTATTGAATTGTATCGAAGAGCATTAAAACCAAGTTTCAAGTAATTCTGATCACAAATAATTCATAACACATATAAACTTTACTAACCCGTTTTAAGCCTTTAAAGGATGAATTTTTGAAAAAATCAAATAAATATGTTATTTAACTTAAAACTAAACAACACTTTCTGTGTATTTCACATTAAGAAAGCCAGAGTCTAATACAATCTTTAATCTCCTATTTTACCCACTTAGGAGATGAATTTCGAAAAAATCTTTTTATCAGATGCCTACAAATTATATATGGAATACATCTTCTAAATTTCAAGTTTATATGACCACCGGCTTAGGGTGTGTTTGTGGTCCATCAGTACTACGGCAGGATGCATCTATCCTTCTCAATTCTTCCTTTAGCCGATCTAGCTTTAACACAATAGAAGCAAAAAATCAGGTATAAAAGAAATATCACAATAAAAATGGCATAATCTCAGACTGAATGTAAATAGGCCATACGTGTGACATCCTCCTATCGAGAAATTTTCTCTATTAAAATGCAAATATTTATTCTGCGATAGTATCCAGGTATTGTTTTCAGGACACACGAGTCCGGTTATCCATTGGAGTTCGTGCGCTCCCGATAAAATCACTTCATATAGCATCTCAATTCTATAAATATATTACTTTATATCACCCTACAGCCTACCTGTGTCAGAGTCGCTCCTTGAATGTGTTTAGTATTATCTATAATCTATGGACAGTACTAAAGCCGAAACCCGAAGCAGTCCGTGATACGCGGTAACGCATAGGTTGTCATACTTCATACTAGTGATGAAGACTTAAGAGATACCGGCATAGGTACCTATTTAATTGAAACATTATAAAAATGTTATAAGGAATTGTAATTAAGCAATTTTAGTGTTTTCTTGTCAGTACAAACGTTTATTCATTCGTCCTGTTTTTACTTATTTTGACATAATATAAGGACGCCATGTTTGTCACGTTTTTTCCAGTTGTGAATATATTTTAATGTTTTAGGCGCACACGGCTAACATCGTAAAACCAGTTTTTAATATCAAAATGAGTTCACCAAGTCAACCTAAGAAACCCAAGTCGCCCAGTGATGATAACAAGGTAAGCTGTCAATAAGTTCCCGCTCTTGGCGATTTGTGGCCTCACGCGTAGATGTATATTTTTATATTTCTAAATGACGCTTCGCTGTGCGACTTTATCTTTGATTTCGTATGTAATCTTTCAGTATGATTAAGTGATCACTTATGAATTTTGCGTTTTGAAAATAACTCTTAATATGTCATAATATTTGTACTTTTTCAATATTTGAATACTACATGATCATTATATGAATATCATGAAACTTTAATGTATGTTTAATGTTAGTGTTATGTTAGAGAAAAAAGAACTAGTATCAGAATATAGAAAACATACGTATGGCGATTCCAATAAATATTTATATCCTCTAATAATTATGATGAAGAAGTACTAAAAAATAAACCTACTAAAAAGGCAGTATTGTGAGTAAGCTTCATCACTATTTTAAGGTAGGAATTGTAGGTTTTATAAGGTTTGTAATAGTTTTTATTGAAATTATCTTTTTACAATTGACTGTATATTTAGAAGAAATCGTTATGATAAAATATGTATTTGATATTTAGATATGTTTGCCATAAAATAAAGTAGAATCTACATAGTATACATAACTAAATTTAATAATATTATTACAATATAATTGTATGAATTAACATATAATTTAAGTAATACTATTACAAAATAAACAATTTTTGAATTATCCAATCATATTATTAATAATCAATAAGATTTGATTTGATATATGTACCATTCTTAAATAATTAGGTAAAAATTTAGAACTTTTGAGTAGCTAGATAGTAGCCAATTGGCTTCTCTAATTTAAAAAAATGTTACTAATATTTGAGATAATAAAATTTTTAATTCATCAATATAGTGGTAAAATAATATTATATGATAAATCTGATAAGTTCGAGTGAAGAAATCATATAGCTTTAAAAATAAAATTATTAAGTTAATAGAACATTCTGTCAGCTGATTTTTTATAAAATGAATATATACTAATAGTATAAAGAGGTAGAGTTTGTTTGTTTGTTTGTTTGAATGTGCTATTCTCAGGAACTACTATTACTATTTAAACAAATCTTCATATATAGCCTGTTTATTGAGGAAGACTTCTTCTTCTCCCTGCCCATTTCCCAATTACTTGGGGTCGGCGCAGTACATCCTCTGTACTGCTGAAAGGATTTGGCAAAAGTTTTACGACCGGCCGCCTGCCTGACGTCAACCCTCCTTGGAAATGCTATTGTTTATCGAGGAATATGTCTTATGATATGTCTCTTATATATATATATCTCTGATTATGTCTTATGATATGTCTCTTATATATATATCTCTGATTATGTCTTGTAATATGATGCACTTTCGATTTTTTTGTCTTTAAAAACATTTTTTATACTATTAATTAAAGTTTAATGTTATTTTCGTATATATTTTAAAATAAATTTTAATTACACTATAAATTTTGGTTTGACGTTGTCAAATTTTTTATTGAGGAAGACTATAGGCTATATATCATATGATATAATATAGTTTATCTATTCTATACTAACCATGAAAACAACTATGTATATCATAATCTGGATTAGTTTATCAACTGGCTTTTGCGAAAGAAGACACTGTTTTTTAAAGTAGCAGTTAAATTATGTATGAGTTTTACTTTCATTTATTGATGATATTGAATTATTATTTACTAACAGTTATAGCCTGCAATTACATGCGAAAACATACACTTTACTATCATAAATTAATGCACTATTTTCTGCATTTAATTAAAAAGAAATCTATTAGTCACTCAGTTTATACTGAAAAATGAATATATTGTACACTATACTTAGATATAATCATCCCTGCTTTTATTTGAATCCAAAAGTAGAATGCAATAAAATTGTTTGTGGTTTAGAAGAGTTTCTGACAAAATAATTCTAATGTTTGTATAATATAAAAATAAGTAGAGAGCTATCTATGTTCACAGTTTTTGATAGACATTGAAATTTGGTCAGTGTACCTCTTTTATGATTAACACCAATAAATTTCTATGAAATTAATTAAATGTTTAAGAAATCTATTGTTAAATGTAACGCCGGCGTGTCCGCGGTCGTTAGGGATTAATACCAATAACAAATATTGTATGATTTAGTATACAACTCTTTTTTTTTTGAAACAAATCAACTGGGCAAATCAATTTGTTCTATACTGATTTTATGGCAAAAATGTTAAGCTGGCTACAACATTTTATTAGTTGGCAAACTTTTACTATTTTATTATTTCGCAAATATTAATTTGAAGCTATATTTTGAAATAAAAATATACATGTTTAATTTAATTTTTCTAAGTAATCAATAAGATTAGAATTACAAGTGATACACTGTTAAAGTCACAAATACTTATGATTTTATGAAATAATGTTAGACTAAAAAGCATTGCGAGTTGCGACTTGTAAGAAATAAAAAAAAACTAAAAAAGAATTATTTTATTATTAATTTATTTGTTATGGCAGAAGTTAAGTTTATGGGTTTGTTAATAAAAATAAAGCAGTAGGAAAAAAAATGTTATTAGCTGTATCTATTAAAAAGAAAACTATTGAATAGAAAAATTTAATTAAAAGTTAATTAAATCTGTGTGTTTAAGTTTATTCAAGCAAATAAATTTAGTAATGTGTTACGGAAGAAAATTAACACATTACATCTTTTTTGTTAATAAAGAAGTGTTTGGTAATGAACAACAATGGTAGTTTTGTTATCACAGAATTGAAAGCATTTGCATATAAAAAGTAACAAATCAAATTAAAATCTATTGATTATTTTTTATACATTGCAATTTTAGTATCTTTTTATATCACAGGGCCCTAATTTTTTCAGTATAAAATGATATGATTACTATAATATTATCTCCTACTTTTTAGAAAAACCCAAGTTCATACCTTTAGACTCTAGTTTCAAAGATTATTATTGTTCTACAAATCAAACTGATCTAAAAATTACACCCAGTGATTTCCTTTTCTAAATTTGGCCAGCCATAGTTAGTTGGTTGACCTACTAAATTTTTTTATATGAATAATCTTTTTTAATCCTTTTATTTTGATAGCACTTTTTGCTTGGATAATCTTTGAATGCAAAATCAATTTGTTAATCTGCATATATTTTATAGTAATTTCCAAAGAATGCAACATTTTTACATAATTGTTAGCAATGCACGATCACAGACTCATATTATCTAGTCTAGTCTTCTATCATAGTGCTATGAAGGTTTTAATCATTTAAAATTATTTTTAAGATATTTCTTTTATAAACTAAATTCTTTACAAGATGCTTGTTTTAAAGTCTTTTGTGGAGCAAATGGCGACAAAGATGACACGTTTGCTGCCCAACACAATCACAAAATGGTTTAGTAGTCCATCAAATGCAAATGGCTCGACACAAGTGGCGGAATCAACAGACTCTTCAACAGAAGATGAATCCACTGACAGTCCATTAGTCAACCAGCCAGCTGCTAAACGAATGCGCTACAATTTACCTGGACCATCGAATGTATATTATGTTCCTGAAGTACGTAATCTAGATATTTTACACTTACACTGAAAACTATTAAAAACAGATTTTTTTACTTAATGTAAGAAACCATTGTAATGTACAAGCACATACATACATATATATTCCCTACAAATAAAGAAAATGTACCAAATTCCATATGCTATCAAAAGAAGTATTTCCACCTTAACTGTGTAAAGTTTTATTTGCGAATATCAATATTTGTAGAAAAAGTGCAAAATTTCATTGTAATCAGTTTAGTTAAAGTATATTATTTGTTATGAGAGTATTTAGAGGCATTTTATGTTAATGATTTAACCAATAAGATTCTTATTTTTAAATAAAGCTCTAATTTGTATTTTTCATTTTTAAAATCAATAAAATGATGTAATTAACTTAACAAATAATTTGAAAATATAACATTAATATATTTTTATTACAATGTTGATATAATTTCAGACAAGGAGCATTAGTACTAACACTGAACCAGTTGAATCGAGTAATCCTGGACAATCAATAGCAAATAGAAGTACATTTACATTAGAAACAAATTCAAAATCCTCTGATGAAACTTCAGTAGAGAAGAAGAGCACTTCTCCTTATATTTTACAAGATTCACTAGCATGTACACAACGTCCTTCAAGAAAGAGGAAGTCACTTTATGATATAACTACAAGTTCAAATCAGCATAATGCTTCGAGTGGTAATTTATTTTTTATTCTGCTTACTGACTGACTAAGACTGCTTCTTACACTGGACTGACCCATAGTGTTGATCAAAAATTTGCATTTTTATTTTATTAATAATATCTTTTATTAAATACAAGTATATCTTTTTTCCTGCAGATGAACCATTAGAGAAAACAGCTACAGCTAACGAGTATAGCCAACCGTATTTTAAATCTAGTTTAGCTGTAGTTTCGCCGTTTTACCCAGGAAAAACTAAGTATGGAGGTGCCAGTAGCTCATATATCAATCAACCAAATATTAAATTCACAAAAACAACCCATATAAATAATACAACAAGTAATAATGATGCAACTATGAGTAATTCAACAAAACGCATTATGGATTTATTAGATAATTTTTCTTCTCCAACTATTGATGCTAGAAGAATTCCACAAATTATAAGTTCACCTGTAAATAATACTAATCAGTCTCTAAACAGTACTGCGACCAGCAAAAGACACTTGTGTATGTATTATAATTATATTTTTTTCAATGACTGTGTAAATATTTTCTGTAACGCTTTTTAATTTTCTGTTCTATTTTTAGCATTTAAAAATAATGAGCTCCATGTGCCTGGTATTGCAAGTATACTAAAACTGAAACAAAGTTCAAGATTAATGAGCACAACCAGTGTTGCTCGTCAGATAATAGCATCACAAAGCAGTTCATCTAATGATACATTTCCACCAAGACCTACTAGAAGGTGAAATTAATCTTAATTTATGTACACTAAATGTTTATTAAAATATCAAATCATAAATATAATTATAATTAAGCTGATTTTTTCTGAATGTTTTACAGTTTTTTTCTTAATACTAGTTCACTAATCATAGTATTACATTACACATATTCATGCAGTAGCGATTCTTTTATTAATTTCTTTGGACATTAGGTCGCTTGGTATAATCTGACCCAGGTATAAATATTCTAGTTTTTGTCCATTGGTAAATATGTCTGCAGCTGTTGAGTGTCATCATTTTTGTTTTGCTTGAGTTCATTTCTAAACCCAATTCTCGGCTTCTGTCTGCTAGGGTTTGTATCATGAATTCCAGTGTTCTTGGGTTTTTCTTCAATATGACAAGGTCTTAGGTGGTTTAGTTGCGATCCATTATGTTTAGTCCTAGATGATTCCACTCCAATTTTCTAAACATTTGGTTCCAGTACTGCTCACAAAACCTGGTGAGAGTGGGTCACATTGCCTGACTCCCCTGTCAATTGGAAAAGTATTCCCTTGAGTTCCAACTTGATGCTAGTTTTACTATTGCTGTAGATGTTTTTGATGACGTTTATATAAGCATACTGGTCTCCCTGCTCCATAATACTTTGCCATACAAACTTATATTTGAGGCTGTCGAGTAATCTATGAAAGCTAGGCAGATAGGTTTGTTGTACTCATTGTTTTTGTATGAGTTGTTTGATGGTGTATGTGGTCAATTGTGCTAAAGTTTTTCCTGAACCCTGCCTGTTCCACAGGTTGATTTGTATCAAGAGTGTTTGATATTCTGTCCAGAATTCTTTTTGCAAAAACCTAATACAAATTTGAGATGAGAGCTATGGGCCTGTAATTTCCAGTATCATCCTTTGAATCTTTCTTATATAGAAGTATAATGTGTGATTTTGCCCATTGACATGCGATGTTGCCAGTAAATAGTATCTCATTAAACACCTTCGCTAGTATCGGAGTTCGTACTTAATTTGTCGACTGTTCCTTGCATCAGTTCATTTTGAATACTATTGGGGCCAGGGGTTATTTCCATTTTTTGGCTATAGCCTTTTCTACTTCTGATTTTAATATTTCTGGTACTTCTCCCATATCTCCTTTCGAGTTTTCCAGTGTAAGTTCTCTATCGGGCGACTGTGTGTTTGGCTGATTTGAGCATATTCAAATCAGTCAAACACAGAGTCGCCCGATGTTATAACAAGCAATAGTAGTCTGTTGCTTTGTTTTGAACCGTAGTATCGACGAACGTGGTTGCGTGTATGTGTGTAGTGATTAGTCGATCTTTGTCTCTTAATTTTGGTATCCATTCTTTTCCCTTTTCACGAATTTCTTTGAAAGCTTTGCGTTTGCCTCCCGTTTTATGTGATTTTCTAGTGTTCTGATAAAAATAGAAGTATTTTTCCTGTCTTTTGTCATATTTTCGCTATTGCGTTTGCTTAGGTTCAAAATATCTTTAATGTTTTCCTTCCTCTTCTTTTTTGCTATTAAATTCCTTCTATCTTCAATTTTAAGTTTTTCAATTTTTAGTTTTAAGAGTTTCTTGGCTTAGGTAGGATTCTTTGTTCTTATCTGTTCTTTGAGCTTGCTTTCTACTCTGACATATTTTTCATTCAGTTAATTGTTGGAAGTAACAATTTCCATCAGATCTTCCGTGGAGTCTTTAGGGACCTTCTCGTTGTTGAGCATTTGTAGGTAGTTTGTTTAGATTGCTTTCGGCCTAGGTTTTCTTGTACCTCGTTCAGATAAACAGCATCATACCATACAAAGGTTAGTATTGAAGTTCAGATTTTGTATTAGTCTCGTTTCATAGAACAGTCTTGCTTTGTTAGATAAGACTACAATCTCATTGCTAACCTTTCTATCTGGATATATCCAAATCCATTTAGATTTTTTTTTGCGGAATATAGAGTTTAACATCATTAAATTATGTTGGAGTAGGAACTCTACCAGTTTTTCACCATTTTTGCTTTGTTTGCCGCTTTCAAATTTTCCTATTACAGGCCAGCACCTACTTGAACATTAAAATCTTCCATGGCTACTTTATTATTGTCAGAGTATTTCTCTGTCACTTTGCTAAGATTATTGTAAAACGTATCCAATCCATCCACTATATCTGTTGGAGTAGCTTGTTCTGTCCGTGAATAAACTTGAATAATAGTCCAATGTTTTGTATGCTTCGGTATATTCATGTAAATTATTGCTATTCGGTCAGATTTGCCATCAAACCCAATAATTTGTCTTTTGAGTTTTGACTTTATCATAAAGCCTACTCCTCTGTGTTATTAGTCATAAATATTAATATTATATATTTTGTTTACAGTTCTACCCCAAACATTTCAGAAGATAAGAACCCATTAAAAATGAGAGTTAGAGTATCGAAAAGGGATTACTTGGAGTTAGAACCCACTGTTCTACCAGTCAATCTCCCAACTGCTACTTTGCAAATTGATAAAGATAATCTGCCTAAATTTTCCTTTGGCAATGCTGTGCCTGAACCAACATCAAGCTCTAAACAAAGTGATGTTTGTATTTCAAACAATTCAACGCCTAAATTGAGCATTATTTCCTCCTCTGAACCCAAAGGAATATCGACTGATGAGGTAAAAATAAACGAAAAACCGGTAAATGAAAAACCGAACTCAACACAAAGGAATACCTATACATTTGCATCCCCAGTTAGAATATCTGTGGAAGCGGTAGAGAGCTTAGTATCATCACAGAAATTTGCGTTTGGTAGCCCTGAAAGAAATGTTGAAGACCAAAATCAGAATATAAATAGAGAAAATAACATATCCACATTGGTAAATAATTCTCAGAAAGCAGGGCAAAAAACAATCCAACAGGATAAAGAGTCAGAAAAGGATTGCAGTGAAGTTGATAAGTGTACTGATTGTCAAGCTGATTTGAAACAAGGGTGTTCTGGTAAATGCTTTGAATGTGAAAAAGAAAAAAGTGCGCCCAATAAGCCTGAACCTCTAACAGTTGTAGCAACGTTGACGAAATGGCGATGCCCAGATTGTTGGGTAGATAATGAAGAAGTTAAAGATAAATGTGTATGCTGTGGAGGGAATAAGCCCACAAAAACAAAAACAAGTAGTACTATTTTGACAGACAAGAAAGACAATGACAACCAGATATATAACAAAATTAAAATAAGGGACAATTTGACCTCTAATGAAATAAGTAAATCAAGTGACATCACTCCTTCAATAAGTATTGTTACACCTACATCTAATGTGTCCACCCTAGACAAAATTGTTAAGATGCAAAGTAGTAAATGGGAGTGTCCAAATTGCTTGGTAAGAAATGACAACAATAAAAGCAAATGTGCTTGCTGTGAGACAGAAAAACCAGGAACTGCTAAAGAACTCCAAAACAAAACTTTCAATTTTGGTGTCAGTGCCAATGTATTCAAGTTTGGTATTAATCCTAAACAAAATGTTCCAAAGAAAGAGGCAGAAGTGAAATCTGTAGACTTGAAACCTTTTCCAGCCAAAGAGTCTGAGACAAATAACAATGTGTTGTTGAACAACAAATTTGAAATCAAAGCCGATGAAGTGAAATCTTCAGATCCAGTTAAACCAGATGAGCCAGCTAAGCAATCTGAAGTTTCTAAACCCACATTCTCATTTGGTATACCCAAAGAAAGCACCGCTAATACTTTTGGAATTACTACTTCCACTCCTGTCGGATTTTCAATGATCTTACCGAAAGATAGTGAAAAAGCTAAAACAGAACATGATGATAAGCCAAAGGCTGTGCCAGAAATGAATTTATTCGGCATTAAGCCCATAATTAATAGCACTGCGTCACCACTGACTAAGGCTACTACTTTGCCTATTTTGAATAAGCCTTTTACCATCACAGAATCGACCACAAACATTGCAACAACATCTGAACAAGTTGCTCCTCAAAGTACATTTTCATTTTCAAGTGGTTTGACACAGCCAGTGAATCTCCTAAACCCCCAAACATCGACCACTGCCTCTGAAACTTCTTCAGTCAGCGCGAGTCCGGCAATATCGAGTATACAGAATTCTCCAGCTCCTACACTGCCATTTTTCTCAAAAAATGAAATTAGCGGTAATTCTCAATCGTTATTTTTTCAAAAAAATGAATCGGAGCTATCTCTCTTTCCAAAAACAGAGTCTGCAACAACAACAGTTGCGCCACAACCACCCATATCCAGCTCACCAATATTTAGTTTTGGTAACAATTTGACACAGAACGTTCAACCAAATATTGAAAAACCTAAATTTACATTCACATTTGGTGCAAACAAATCTGATGCTCCAACGTTATTTAATCCCCCACCGGCCTTCGGCGCTCTAGTGGAAAATAAATTCAATCTGCCCACCTCGAACACTATAAGTAGCGGCTTGCCGGTCAACAATACCATGAATAATAGTGGTTTGCCAAACAGTAATGGCTTGTCCACTGGCAACCCTTTGGCCGGATTGGCGAGAGGCAATGGACTGGGCGCAGGAACTAATATTGGAGGAGACGGCTTATCTAACCCATTAAATCCCGTCAACAATTTAATGGCCGGCAGTTCATCAACAACGGTTGGTGCTGGTAATCTATTTGGTGGAATAAAGAAAGATATGTGGTCTGGACAAAATAATACTGGGAGTGGTAATATTTTCGTTTCCAATACAACGACAAACAGTATACAAAAGCCGGCTGCTTTCACATTTGGCGCTTCAACGTCTTTTAACGCTAACAGCGCGGCACCCACTCATTCATTTGGTAATCCCACGCAACCGCCGCAGCCAGCACAGCCGGCGCAATCAGCACAGCCCTTGCCAAACCTATTCGGCGTCGTTAGTCCGAATAATCAGCAACAACAACCTACATTGTTTTCGAATACAGTACAAAACCAGGCTACACCAAATGTTTTTGGAACAACACAATCTCCTGTGCCTTCAGTCGGGGGAATGTTCGGGACGCCAAGATTCGGAGCGCCAAATACAATGTTTGAAGCTCCCCCAATGAACCCAACGCCCGCTATGAATCCGACGCCGACACCATCCTTCAGTTTTGGGGCTCAGCAGCCTCAAAGTAGCATATTTTCATTTTCACAGGTACATATGTCTTTTATTGGTTAAATTTGCATTATTTTATTAAAGTATCGAAATTTGCACCAGGTTTATCACATGGGTAAATTTTTAAGAGGAATAAGCGACTTAATACTGCCGTCATAAGAAAGAGGCCCCGTAACTTTGATTTCGAGATATTTGAAGTTTTGTCTTACTTATAATAATAATTTAGCTTTGATTAATTCCATACAGTTTTTTTAACATTTAACACTTTGTATGGACCCCGTTCGGGTAAAAGCCTCCCCAAGGAATGCTACAAATCTCTGTCCTTAGCTGTGTCCAGCCAATTTCCACCCGCCATCGCTACAATTTCGTGTGACTATCTGGCCCTTGGTCGGCCTCTTGTTCTGGTGCCTCTTGGCCCTGTGTCTTACTATTACGTCAAAATTACTACTAGTTTTGACGCAGTTACGATTAATATGCTTATGGCATCTCAAGATTCATAATACTTAGAGGTTTATAAATAAGACTATCAAGTAGCGTTTTTTGCTGATTCCGAATCTGCTTATAAGTCATTTTTGACCAAATTGTTAGTTCGGCCTTCTTCCTTATGAGGGCAGAATAGTAAGTCTATGTGTTACTTCAGGCTAGTTTATCTGTGTACTAAAGTTTATCTTAACCCTTCCAGTCATTTTAGCGTAAAGGAATAACAATCATAGCCCATACTCACACATACAAAACTTTTGCATATAAATGGACTACTATTATAAAATAGAAGTCCGATATTTGATATATAGTGTTGTATCGGGTTTAAAGGATGTATGTATAAAGCTCTTTTTAACGACTTACTGCTGTGGGCGGGCCTCCCTTCAATACGAGGGAGAGGAGGCCACAGTCATTAGTCCATCACGGTGGCCAAGTGCGGCTTGGCGGACTTTACATGTCTTTAGAAAACTTGCTAGGGTCTCTCAGACATGCAAGTTTCCCCATGTTGAAGGAACATAATAGAGGTAGGGCTTAAACCCTCTTCACTCAGTTATCCAAGAGAGCGCGCTACCACTGGGTTATTACTGCTGTTAAAGGATGTAATTAATACACTCAGAATTATTTTTTGAAAAAAATTCAAGAGTGCGTGTATGAATGTGTACACGCGCAAGAAGTAAAACTTTTTACACACATTTTTTCGTAACGCATTCACCAGCTTACCCCCAAGTCAAGCGAGCGTAAAGAAGTTTTACTTCAAAAATTACATTTATTAACTGATTAATGTTCACGAACATTCCAGCAACCGCAGTTGCAGCAGCAACCCGGCGTGTACAACTTCGGCGCGCCCGGGGGCTCCCCGGCGGTGCAGTTCAACATGGGCAGCGCTCCCAGCGCCACCGGACGGCGCGTCAAGAAAGCGATACGCAGGACCACGCCTCGACCGTAGTACTCGTTTTTCTAAGTAAGTGCTGATTCCTATGTAACTGCCACAAATTATGACCACACACCTGGATATTATACCGTTACCGTTATTGATATACAGTTGACTGTGGATAATTTGAAACTCATGGGACCAGAGAAAAATTTCAAATTACCAGGAGTTTAAAATAACAAGAACACTTGTTCGTTCTTGAATTCATTTTTGATACTTAAAATCATGAACGAATTAGCTGCTGGACCAGACATAAAATACAAATGTATGAAAACTAGTTCAACCAAGTGACGCATAACGCACACAAAGATTTTATTACATTATTATAAACACTGATACACAATACAATATTTCTAGTGCTTGAAAGTAATCGATAAAATACATACATCGATGAACGAATGAATGACATTTTATACATTTGTTAGCATAGTTATCATAATTTTACATCTTTTAATTTAAAATATCTGTATTTATTATAATAAATTAAAATAAATGAATTAAAGAGGCAATAATAATGTGTTAAATAATAATTATTTATTTATATAAATACGATGGCATTGATGACATCGAGTGTCAAATTATCGAGAGTCGACTGTACCTTTATATCATATTATATAACCTTTATACCATATATCGTCCGTAAATCGGGACACCTCACAACAGTAATTAGGACGATGATGGGGACGCATTTTGGATGCATTTTTTTTGATTTTAGTAACAGTTTTCACTATATAATATCGAAACAAAAGCCAAGTAAGGATTTTTTTCGATATTATTTACCGAAATCTGTTACAATATTGGTATTGGCTGTGATTATAGATACACACTTTCCTGCAATATATGAACATGAAATAAACATATTTTAATTTTTAAATATTTTTTTTAAGTAATAATATAATTTAGAACAATTTATCGAAATTGTTTAGTCTTGATATTCACGACAATGTTGTAATGTATAGTCTGATTTTTAATTCGGCGGAATTCTGACATTTCAGAAATGTTGTCAACTTTGAAACATTGTCACTAAAAACGGAAAGCATTTTAGCAAAATAAAAAAATAAACCTTTCTTGAATTTGAGGTTTCAATTAGAAAAAGTAAGATTTAAAAAATTATTGATAACTCTAAAATGGTAATTATTTTTTTATTATCATATTATCGAAGTTAGAATAATTATTAAGGGAATTATTTTTCTATTACAGAAATCCCTGTCCATTAATACATAGGTTGCAAGCCTTTTTTTAGGAAAACCCCTTTGTAAAATCTTTGGAATTGGCAAAAAGAATTGGAAAGTCCCAAGAGACAGGTCCACATCGATCGTTCACGATCTTTTATTATTGTTTTTGGCAAGAATGCATAAACCATATTATAAAAGAAAAGGATAAAATGTGTCCTCTTAATGATCTGATGGATAGTGTGAGTTATTCTTTTATAATCCGAGTGGATGATAACGACAAGGATGATATAAGTAATAATGATTAGTAAATATTTTCATTTCTTATAAGTATTATAAGTAATAATGATTAGTAAATATTTTCATTTCTTATATTTTGTTTTACTCTGTTTTTTTCATTTAACCATAAAATTTTTTTACATTATAGTTAGTGTGCATTGAATGCACAAAACAAAGACTATTTACAATATCATACATATAGTTTACTTGATCTAATTCTATTTCATGTTTTTTGTTATTTTATATTAAAAAAATACAAAGCAGAAAAGGTTTATGATATCTGAATTGTCAAAGAATGACAGCTGTCATATTTCCGTGGAATTAAAAATCAGACTATAATGTATGTTGACAATATTGATGTTCCTCGTCATTTAGTCGACCAAGCATAGAACGAGATTGTAAAATATTGTTCTATACCAAATAAACAGTTATTAAAATTTGTCGTATAATATTCGACCGGTATGTGAAGTAAACAATAAATTATATAAAATAAAAATCAAATAATTCTCGTTATGTAACGAGTAACATACATTTACATAACGAGAAATATTTATTATTGATTTTATATATTTAATAAATATCACACAAATATATCAATTACCATCTTGAAAATATGATATTCCATCACTTTTTAAGATTCTAAATGTATTTTTGCATTTTTGTAATGACCACATTGATATTTCGGACATTCGCTCTGTAGATCACGCAATTCGAGGGTGTTTGAAGAGCGCAATTTGTGCGCTCTTTTTTTAAGTGCACTTGAGACGCTGACTGTATATTTTGGGTTTTAGTATATTAATGTATAGTCATTACATATAAAATTAACAAGTGACGATTTCCATTATTTGCATTGAAGGCATATTTAATAATAATCTGATATGACTAATTTTATTTTTTTTAAATGACCACTATCTTAATTTTTTTTTACTAAATGCTGCTGCTTGCTGGACATTACATGTCGACGTCACTCTTTCCCAAACCTAAAATTTATTTATATTGCGTGTAGTTATATACACATTAAACGATAGTTTTAATTTTATGTGTATAATACATTAGCGGCTCACCCTCGCTTCGCTCGGGTTAGCCTCTAGAAAAGCATAACCAGATCTGTCCCACCGGAACCGTTCATTTTTCCGGGATGAAAAGTAACCTGTTGTTTGACCGGCAATATAAGGTATCAGCATGCCAAATTTTACTAAATTAGGTGCATAAGTTGTTGTGTACTAAGCTGTATAAGTTACTATAGTTTTTTAACTATCCCACAGAAACTCTTTAATTTTCTGGAATGAAAAGTATCTTAGATATTGACTGGGGATATAAGGTACTACCATGCAAAATTTCATTTAAACAGCTCGCTCGGGTTCGTCCATACCTGAATATGTTGTATTATCTCTTTAACCATTTGTCCAAATTATATGCAGTAAAAGGGAAAAGTCTTTTGTTTTAAACATTTTAGACGATAAATTTACTTATTTTATTAAGAATTCATAATTGTTGATAATATGACCAATAAACATGACCTACCGATTTTAATAATTTTATTAATATAAAAACCTACTTTTTGTGACTTAAATATAAAAGTTAGACATATGCTGTCGCTGACTTTTTTTGTAGGCATTATTAAGCTCTACAACTTTTCTTTAGAACATAATCATATATCTCTCATCGTTAAGGCAGCGTTCGTAAGAAACGTTTTCATTCGACCGTTTTTTCTCCGACTTACTTTGCAAATCCGACTACCATGCAAAAGTCTTTTCATTCTTCGGGTTAATATATAGCCTATGACACTCAGAAAGAACGTGGCTTTCTATTGGTAAAAGAAAATCGGTTCAGTAGATCCAGAGATTACTCCCTACAACGTCACAAACTCAAACTCACAAGATCACAAACTTTACCTCTTTATAATATTAGTATAGATAAATATAATAAATGTTTGCTTTAAAATATTAAACTTAATATTTACACTGGAAGCCAAAATTCAAGGAAAAAAAACAAAGAAACCTTCAATATGAACTAAACTTCCTTGTAGTGATTTTCATGAACTTATTTTCTTACTTTTTCTTGATCATATCATTTATTTCCCATTCGTATTTTTCGTTATCACATATGACACAGACAATTAATACGATTTCATATTTTGTGTTTCTATGTTAATTATTTTAGAACAAGAACATATTTATATACAAAGACTTTTGGGTGTGTGGTCACGAGTCGTGGTCAGTTTTTATAGGTCCATTTGGACAGTGAATTTACATATTTTTTTTTATATTACGTGAAAATTTCGAAAAAGAGTTAAATTAATGTCCTAATATTTCTATTAATATAATGAGAAATGGTATTGTACGTTATTATGTTAATTTTATATTATTTTATGTTATTGGGCTGAGCGTGTAGGTCAAAATAAGTAAATATGTTCCTGTGTAAAATTACTCTTTAGCCATTTTGTTTTTTTTTATATTATGACTTATTAAATTTATATGTTTTCTTAGAGATATTTTATTAATTATGATTATGTTGTTTAAAAACTTATATAATGGCAGCGGGATCTTTTATTTCTGGGTATTATTAGTATGCAGCTGTTTTAATAGAAATCTGAAACCATATTGACATTAATTGTAATAGCACGCTTTTCAAAGCAATATACCTATAAATTTTCTGTTATTTTTTTTAAATATTGAAAGAAATTAAAATAAAACTTATATTGAATCTTAATGTTATTTTAATTTTACTATGTTCAGAATTTGTATATACGACTAATGGTTATGACATTAACGTAACAGGAATTTCATTATAAAAATTTCAGCAGCCGCATGTGCAGACAAAGTCCTGGGTATTAAAAGTATGGCGCACCCGCTGGCACGGCCCGCCTCAAGCAAGCAAATCATTCATTATATAATTAAGTTTAAAGAGTAAATTTTTTAAGTGGGCATGGATAATAAAGATTCATTGGCGAATTTTAATTCATGATAACAGTAATATAGGTTTTTAGAAAAATGACTTTTTCAGACAATGGGTCACGTTCACGTCCACTTGAAAAATTTACCTAACTCGATTAGGTAGAGAATAGAATTGAATATGGCGGCGTATGTGTAATCTACTCTCAGTATATACAAATAATTTAGTGATGATAACGTTGTCTCTAAAGCTTTAGCTTTTGTTATTTGTCTCGAAGCGTGATTTGATTACGAAACGGAGTGAACTTCACTCTTTTATTTGATTAGGTTTTCGCATATTTATTTATTTATTCTAACGCAAGATAGTAAAATACAAGATAAGCCTCAAATTTAGCAACTTTCATTAATAATGGAGAATGGCCAGTCCCAAGTTTTGCGTTGTCCATAACGTCAAAAACGAAAGAGTAAAGTTGAAATAATGACGAGTTCCGATAGTGGAATGAGCTTGCCTGTAACTTTAAGCTTTATCCTGTATAAGTATTATATATATATTGATTAAAATTTTACATCTTAAGACTTAGACTTATGTTAAGAAAAAAAATTATTGATATTTATTTTTGTCCCTTTTGCTGTCTCCCAAGAGAGCTTTGCACAAATACTTTCGCCG